AGTTCTCATTATAAAATGGCAATTCATTTTGTCTTACAACAAATGGATAACTATGTCAAAATGTGGCCATCCACATAGTAACACATCACAACCAGTCCTTAGCTTTAATTCAGCATTTAGCCTTAGCAATCCAAAGAAAATTCTTAATCACAGGAGATAGTAAATGTGGCTGAGGAACCCTGTCATTTCAGTAGCCTATATTAACTGTGCAGCTTAGCCATAATGAAGTCCCTGGATTGAAGAAAATGTAAAATCATCCAGGAATAAAATTATCTGTCTTCAGCAAGAGCTCCTTACTGACTGCTCATTATTGGTACAAGAGAAAATAGTCACTAGGAATGTCAACCTTTCACAATTCCATCTATAATGAACATCACTGTGATTCTAATGTGAATATATCTGAGTTTCCAAACAGTCAGTCAAGATCCATATTTCAAAAGGTTAGGAAGAAAACATTCTGGCAAGACTGATAGGAAATAAAATGGAAATACAGTATGTAAATCACAAGGGAGAGACTGTCTTGAAATACAGATGCTCCATGTTTTATGATGTTATTAAAGAGACAACCTAGTCTAAGTTTGAACAAGCACTGGTATGTGAAATTCTGAGTATTTCTGTCCTTACTTTAGCTCTCTGTATGAAAACCTAACGGTGATCAGGCAAAAGTAAACTAAAGTGTGAATATCATCTTCCCTGAGATTCTCTTTTTTATAATGAAGGATCTGTTTTGCCCAAAGAAAAGAGCAAAATATGAGGGAGTAACAATATAGCTATTCCTATAGAGTATAGCCCAGGGACTACAAATGGTTGCTAAAGTTTTGCACCAAGTGTTCAAATAAAGGTCTGACCTGAATTCAGCAATATGTGAAGATTTCATTCAAGTGCACAAATGACCCAGAAAACAAATGGGAAGCACAAAGCCCTATTATCTTCATCTTTAAAAGACCCTCTGAAATGATTTTTGGTAAATGAACAAGGTCAGCAGTCATAAGCAAAATCTATATTATGTAATGTATGCCCACTGTCACGGTTCCAGACTAGAGAGAGAGATATTCATACGCCATGATGATAGGTTTTATTGGATCATATTGTGCACAATAGGTTATGATCTAGAAATAAAGCTGTGTTATGCCTGAGTTATGCTGCCAAATGGAAAGGTTGTTCAGAAGTAAATGTTCAGATTTGAAAATGTGTGCAAAGAACGGTCACACATTGACATTTTCCATGATTCTCCTTCTCTCAAACCTATCAGTTTCACTAAGTGATAGTGAATATGTCTGGAGAGCAGGGACTGCAGAGTTTCAATCAAGGCTGTGTCACGCTGATTCACTGCATGTCACAGCCATGTCAAACATGGCTCAGACTCTTAGATCCATGCCTTGGCATCCAAATAAAAGTGGTCGTTTTCTCAAAAGTGCCGAGTGTCCACAGCTGAGGTTCTAAACGTTCGGAGCCTAAAGCTAGTCACCTACAGAAGAAACGTTTCTCAGACTGGCTGAGCACCAAACAGCTTTCCAATTAAATACATGGGAGATGATGAGTGCTTAGGCAGCCTTCTTATCTGAATCCAGACTTTGAAGTCTAAACATAGGCTCCTGCTTTTGTAGGTCTTGGCCAGAACTATTACTTTCTATACAATGAAATGCTATTACCAAAATCCTAGCTAAAACCAAAATTGATGTTCATTCTACCTAAAATTCTTCTTGAACTTTAAAATGGATAAAACATTCTTAACATTTTGCCCTGAAGTATTACATAAAGTTAACGTGTAGAGGCATGTGAATTGCAGAGGCTTACCCAACAGACTCCTAGAGGCGCAGACCACACTATCCTTTTGAATGCTGCCTAGCACAAAGAAACAGTCCATGCTGGAACAGGCTTACGAGGGTGAGGGTGACACACATTATACAATTGTAAAACCAGAAGGGACCTGTAAGATCATCAGCTCTGGTCCCTTGTCATGGGCAGGAAGTTATTGGGCTCAGACAAGCTCAACAAGTGCCTGTCCAGCCTCCTCGTGAACACCTCCAAGGATGGTGATTGCACCACCCCGCCTGGGAGCGTCTTCCAGATTCTGGCGACACTTACAGAGAAGACGGTCTTCCTTGTATCTAGTCTGCATTTACCCTCTATAACATGAACGCTGCGCGCTCCTGGAGGCTGGGGGGGCACGGCAAGCTCCTGTAGGCGGCAGCAGCACTGTTGGTGGCAGGAGTGTGGCGGTGGCTGCCAGCAGTGGTGGGAGCAAGGGGGTGGGGTGGTGAGCAGCAACCACCTGCCTGCTTTTCTCAGGGGGTGCATGTGCACCTGCGTGCACCCCCTACATGTCGCCAATGCTCCATGTCCATTGGTCCTCATCCTCCCGTGAGGTGCCTTGCTGAAGAGTTGCTCACCTAGATCTTGGTGCTCACTTGGAGGCGGCTATCAAGTCACCGCTCAGCCTTCTCCGACTCAGACTGAACAGGCCCAATTCCCTGAGTCTCTCCTTGTAGGGGCTTATCCGCCATGCCCTGGACCAGGTGGGTGGCCCTTCTTTGTACCCTCTCGAACTCATCCATGTCCTTCTTGAAGTGCGGTGCCCAGAACTGGACACAGTACTCCCGTAGGTGGAGGTGAGAGACAAGCAGGAAGACGGTTGCGAGCAATACAAGCAGCACCAAATCCCAACTCGTGCCTGCCCTGCCACTCGAGCGGTTTGTAAGTACGGTGGAAGAGCTGGGCGGGGGGAAAGATTTCTGGAAGGATAACAGTGTGGTCTTGAGGATGTTCGCAGGGAGCTCCTTACATAAGGGCAGCAAAAGGGAAGGCAAAGAAACATCTAGTGAGAAGTGAAGGCGGCCTAATGTTCAGTGTTGTGTGATTTAGCCCTTCCCTTGTCCTAAGGCGTGGGACTCCCGCCAGGCAGAGATGACTGAGACAGTCCCTGGGGGACACGCTGCAGTGGAGCTGACAGACTTGCCAGCAGCGCAGCATCTACTGCAGCCTGCCCGCCAGTGCATGGCAGCCATCCTCAGTGCCCCGGCATGGCATGACCCTCCCATGCGCCAACAACACCTGGGCGCTGGTGGCCCAACCCTGCCTTTCCCTGCTTCCAGCCGCCGGCTTTCCACCCAGCCCTTCAGCTGTCCACTGCTGCTGACCCACTGGCGACGCACGCGCACCCCTGCGAGAAGGCGCGGGCAGTCGCCGCTTGCCAACCCTCCCTTGCCACCGACACGGCCGGCGGCGTGTGCGCGTGGTCCACAACTGCTGCTGGGCGCCGCCAGTGTTGCCAGCACCGCCGTGCCCCCCTAGACCTCCGAGGCCATGTCCCACTGCCCTACTTTTCACCCATGCTTAAAGCAACGGTTCCCAAACTGGGGGGGTCACGGGGGGGGTATAAACGGGGTCAAGCCCAGGAAAAGTTGGGGAAAGGAGGGGCCTGGCACCCGGGGGAGGAGGCGGCCCAGCTCCGAGGTGCTGGAGGAGCCCAGGGGAGGATGCACCGCCTCCCGCTCCCCGGGCCAGAGCGCGTGCAGCGGGC